ACTTGGTTAATTATATCCTGGGGCCTACTAAAGATCAGTATCAGTAAAGATAATTAAAAACATAAACCTGTAAAGGTAGAGAGTATAGTGAGAGAAATGAGAGAGTAATGGACCACTAAACTATGGACATGTGTATTGAAGAGGAAGGGAGGGAAGGAGGGATGGGGAGGGGAGCGGGGAGGGGGAAGGAGGAAGACTCAAAAAGCAAAGAAGAGAATCAAAAGAATACAGTAACATAGAAACCAATAATGGGAAGTTTATAAAAATTTAAGTGTGTGTGTGTGTGTGTGTGTGTGTGTGTGTGTGTGTGTGTGTAAGAGAGAAAAGAGCACACAGGTCATATATTTGGAGGTCAGAGGACAATTTTTAGGAGTTCATTCTCTTCTTCTACCATGTGGGTCCCAGGGACCAAACTCAGGTGGTTCAAGCTTGGCAGCAAGTGCCTTTACCCACTTAGTCTCTCCCCAGCCCCCACAATGGGAAGTTTTAATAAACACTAAACTTAATCAACAATATTGAATGCTTCAGTGAGTTCTAGAAGAGTTATAGTAAAGGGGACATTGCAACTGACGGCAATTTACTCGTTTTTAATTAAGTTGTTCTTGAAGAGAAGACAAGTATTTCCAGGGTTAATGAATAAGTTAAGAGGTAGTACAGAGAAAACAGACCTTCACTGAAGATCAAAGGCCTGAATTCGACCAAGACTCTGCAGCTAAGTTGCCATATCACCTTTTAATCTTGCTTAAACTCTTTTCTAGTTTTCAAATTTCTACAGAATTGCTTCCAGCTTAGACTTTCAAATGTTCATACAGCAGGAGAGATGGCTCAGTAGTTAACAGCACTTACTGCTCTTGCATAGGACCCAGGTTTGGTTCTCAGCACCCACGGGGCAGCTTAAAACTTCCTGTAACTAGCTGGGTGGTGGCACACGCCTTTAATCCCAGCACTTTCAAGGCAGAGGCAGGTGGATCTCTGTGAGTTCAAGGCCAGCCTGGGCTATAGAGTGAGCTCCAGGACAGGCTCTAAATCTACAGAGAGAAACCCTGTCTCAAAAAAAAAAAAAACAAAAACAAAAACAAAAAACAGACAAACAAACAAAATTGCCTGTAACTATAGTTCAAGGGTATCCTATACCCTTTTCTGACCTGGGATCCTTCATGCAAGTGGTGCCCACACATACACTCAGGCACACTCATATATGCATATAGCAAAAAATAAATCTTTAAAACTCCAATGTCCATACAAGCTATCTGTGTGTCTTAATGATAGGAGATATTGAGCTTAAATCTTTGTCACAATTAGGTCATGTGTGAAGGTCAGAGGGCAACCCCAGGTGTTGGTCCTCACCTTCCTTGTTTGAAGCTGTGTTTTTTTTGTTGTTGTTGTTGGTTATTACTTTGCATGCCAAGGTAGCTCCCAGAGATTCTCCTGTCTCCATCTCCCATCTTCCTGTAGGCACTCTACTTTGGGTTCTCCGGATTTGAACTCAGATCCTCACATTTGCATATTCAGCAGTTCCCCACCTCCCAACTGTTTCCCCAGTTCCAATTTTGTAACTTTTAAGCTGGCATATAAAAGAAGTATTATCCTCAGTGTTTCCAAATATAGAGAAATCGAGAGACTATGCTCTTCATTCTCCTCAAAGCAAGCCAACTTCAAGGGGTCTTTTTTTGTGTGTGTGCCAGGGTGAATCTCAGGGCTTTATATTACGCAAGTGCTCTACCAACTAAGTTACATCATCCCCAGTGAGCTCATTGTCCAGGATCCATTCCCTTTAGAAACCAACCTAAGCTGTTATTCCTGGTTTATCTAATGGTTTATTCTATTGCTAGAAATCAGAAGGTGCCATCAAGCCTTCATTTGTTTGTGGAAATCAATGGAGTTACAGCTCCCCAAACTATGGCTGTCTCCCCACTCGTAACACACCCTGCACAGGAACATTTTCTGAAAGTCAATGTTTCCTATCATATGATCCAAAATTAAACCCAAGATACAGCTTCAGGAAGAAGCCAGATGCACTGAGGAAAAATTTTTTGCTTTATCAGAGGGGCAAGCCTCTCTTAGATTTCATAGCAATTTAAATTCATTTGCTGAAATGTTAAATACAACAAATCTTTCAGATGGGTTCCTTTACATAGATGCCAAGTGAGCATAGATGCAAAATAGTTCTCTTGATTAACTCTCAATAATACCACTACTTGTATTAAACACACACACACACACACACACACCTTTTACTTGTTGGAATCTGTACATTTTTCTGGAATTCTTTGTCCTTGTCATTTCTCAGAGGAAGATGGCTTGTGCTGCCCCAAACTCTTCCTGTATTTAGTCCTAAAGGATACTGAGCAGAATAAGGGAAAATTTTAATTTTGTTTTTAATAGGATTTATATAATTCAGGTCTGGCTTCAGTGAAGAAAAGTACATTAGCATTTATTGTGCGCTTGCTATATGCTAAACATGTCCGGAAACACTGTCTCACTCAAGCCGAGAAACAATGCTTGCTCATAAATTTACTTTTAATTTTAGAAATGAGAAAACTAAGGTCTGGGGAGGTTAAGCTACACTCTCAAGTTATAAAACTGAGATTGAAACAAGAGCTGCCTGACTCCAGACTGGAACTCTTTTCACTTTATCAGGCAGTTTGGGCTAGTGAAAAATACATTCATAAAAGGGTATTAGCATTTTATGTATAAAAGGGGATTAATCAGGATCCTCTGGTACCTCCAGCACTGAACTGAATCCTATGCACACATGCCTGAGCATGCACACACAACAGCACACACACACACACACACACACACACACACACACACACACTCCATTCTGAATTCGCCTGACAGAAACTTAGCACCGAGGACAGTTCCTGAGTCATGTTTGCAGGAAGCTGTCCTTGAATTCTGTGCTATTGAGCTCACACCCCCATTCTTGACTTCCCAAGTGGCTCTGAGAGAGAGAGAGAGAGAGAGAGGAGGAAATGCAGAAGAGAAAAAAAAACTGTATAAGGCGGGTTCCTCTGATACCATGGTGGAAATTAGCACATTTCCCAGAAGACCAAGATAAAAATGCATGTGAGAAGAACCAGGGAGCCAAACAGATGGGACAATAAAATGGGGGCAGAATGAGCTCATCAGGATTCCCAGCACATGGGTTAAGTCCATCCTGGGCTCTCTGGGCTGACCTGGGACTGGCAGACATAGTGAATGAGTGGGTGGTTATGATGCTGCGGCTTCAGTTACACTAAGAGATTAGGTGGCAGTGATTCACTGCTGCAGATCTGCACGACTTTCTCAAGTAGCAGAAAATCTGTGGGCCCCTGGGCTCTGTCACTTGCACAGCCATGCTCATGGGTAGCATGAGTCATGTATGCAGGATCTGTCAGGTAGACAGTTTCTGTGCTGTGAGGAGGAAATCAAGGCAGAGCTCCCATGATGTCAGGAATGGGTTACAATCACAGCCACAGCATCTCCTTTGCATGAAAGTCTACCTGCTGTTTACACAACCAGCCCGCCCGTCCATATTCAGCCGTGGCTACAGCCAGATCACAGGGACACACAGAAGAAAACCAAGGTTTTGTAATGTTTATCACAGGGAAGTGTGATTCCTTCCTTCCCAAACTACCAAGCTCTTGAATAAAGCCAGGAGGGCCATTAAAGATTTGATGCTAATTGTCTCATCTTCCCTACAAGGTCCAAAGAGGAGAAAATGACTTGCCCCAAACCACTTAGCTAGTAACAGTTGGCATTGGGACTAGAAGGCCTCATTCCTAAACCAGCAGATTTTTCCATTGTACCAGGAAAACAAAATAAAACCCCAAATAGCATAAGTCCTCTAATTTTACTGTCTCCTGAGAAAAAAATAACATCCTCAATGCCTGGGTCTTCCCATCTGGGGTTTGGCAACTTCACTGATCACATCTCATATTGGAAACTCTTGTAAGGAATTTAAGAGCAATTATTTTGGGGATATATACTATTTTTATGTCTTCTTGTGCATTGCCTTCTTTGGCCAGAAGGAAATTAGAATTCTGGAAATACATTGATTTAATTATTAAAAGGACAAGCCTTGGCTTCAAGTAGTTGCAAATATGAATTATTAGTCCATGTCATGAAAGGACTGGAGAACTAAATAGGAACAATAATAATCTATTGTCACACCCAATTAAGATCTCCCCTGGCCTATGAGTAAAAAGAACATCAAATTTGTAAGTGGAAACTTCAAGCAGCATGTCTATATCTGGATAATTCTGAATGTGCCTGGTTATGGTGCTGTACAGTATCATCTAAAATGTACTATTTTGGAAAGTGCTTTGAGATCCTGTTGCCTTCACTATTGCAATCTGTGTCTGTGTGGGTTTATTTGAACTTTTGAATTTCCAAGTAGCCAAAAAAGAAGGTCTAGGGAGAAACTGTAGACCCAAGGTCACATTTGACAAGGAGTAAAACTTCTTGATGAGGGCAGACTAACCAAGATATTAGCCATCTCTTCATACCTCCACCTCACCCCCAATCTCCACCATACTTTCCCCACTGATGAATCTTCTTACCTGAAGCATCATTGCTTCCCTTGTCCTCTGTTCTGGATCCTGTGTAAACTGGATTTCCTGCCTGTAGTTTTTAATCCTTGAAGAGATTTTTCATGAATACAGCTTTCATTATAATTTAGCAACATTGTCCTTGAAAACCCCACAACTATTTACATAACAGAAGCTATTGTTTGAAGTGCAAAACAGGTCAGAATTTGGTTTCTAAAGATTAATCACTGCAGTCTATTTTATATTATCATAATAATTTCATTTATTTTGATACAATTTGTTTTCAGAATCAACCCCAGCCTCTGTGCACAAGTGACAAATCCATTTGTTTCTGCTAGAATGGATAATGTGACTAATGACCTTGCAACAGGATTTCTTTAAAAAGGGAAAAAAAGATTTTCATTTTTAATTCACATTAAATTCGGTCTGTAGCTGTGGATCAGAACTGCTCTGAACTTGTAAGCCATGGGTAAAATTTTTTCTCCCCGCCCCAGTTTTTTTTTTTTTGGGGGGGGGGGTCTGAGTATTAAATTAGGTTCTCTCCAAGAATTTGATGATACAGGTTCCAAGTGTAAAGTGAATTTGTTGGGCTCCCCCATTTGCAAGAATAGGGCACAGTTTTACGTCATGGCCCCATCATATTGACTCTGATTGGATGTTCTCCTCAAACTGAGGTCATGATAAATAAATAAGACCATGCCTGGAGAGATGTTGTCCTGTTGACCTGTGTTAGCGTCCCCTCCCCTCCCTTCCTTGAACCATCCTGGACCCATTCCTGTCCCCCACTGGTCTGGGCCTTTTTTTCTTTTTTTCTTCCCTTGAGTTCTCTGTGGTTGGGCCTGGAATTT